GCCTGGGTTTGGTCCTTGATCAGGGAACTAAGATACCAAAAGATGAAGGGCACAGCCAAAGGAAAAAAAAGAAGAGCTGAGAGAAAAGCCCATGTGAAGACAGGAGAAGGCAGTCATTTGCAAGCCAAGGAGAGAGGCTCTCAAAGAAACTAACTCTACTGACAGCTTGATCTTTAACTTCTAGCCTCCAGAATTGTGAGAAAACACATTTCTGTTTTTAAACCACCCAGGCTGCGGTAGTTTGTTATGGCAGCCCTAGCAAGCAAATACAGCCCCTTCCAGACATAGCAGACAAAATTTCCAGAAGGGCCAAGCCAAGAATGCAGCAGGTGAGATGATCTGGTTTTGACCAACTTCTTCACTGGCTGCCCGGATTGGTGGTAGCCCTCTGGCTTTTCTAGTTCTTTCTTTTTCAGGCAGCCGCCAATCTCATCTTGTTTTGGTTGTTGGCCAAATAGCCACTGTTATTGGTGGCTAACAAATAGAACATTTCTCCTCTTGTTTCCTTATGAAAATCTAATGATATGAGCCACAGAATCTCAGCATCACTGGCATGCCTGGTTCTGCCCTCTAGAAGCTCTCATTCTATGGGGGAGAAAGTCATGGAGATCATTTCACGGCAGCATAGTATGTGCAATGCTAGTGGTCAGCAGAAGGATGTGGGACCACAAAGGAGGGCAATCTGAGCCTGCCTGGGGAGGTCCTGGAGGGCTTCTTAGAGGTGATGGCAGAGCTGGAAGTCTGTTACTTCTGTGACGATAGGAACTTGGTCTTGCTCCCCTGCCTTCGCCGGTGGAATCTGACACAGTGCTTTGTATTATAGTAAGTGCTCATCTGGGCTTCCCCGGTGGCTCAGCAGTAGAGAATCCGCCTGCCAATGCAGGAGACTCAGGAGATGTGGGTTCGATCCCTGGGTTGGGAAGATCCCTGGGAGAAGGAAGTAGCAATCCACTCCTGCCTGGGAAATCCCCATGGACAGAAGAGCCTGGAGGGCTACAGTCCACGGGGTTGCAAAAAGTTGGACACGACTTAGTGACTCAGCAACAACAACAGCAAGGGCTCATCTAGGTTGTTGGGTGAATGACCCTCTTGAAGTGCCTCCCAGCTTTATGAGTCTGTGGTTTTACGGCCTCAGAGGCCCACAGCAGTAAGATGGTGGAGGGTGTTAATGGCAGACAGCACAAGGGATGAACAGAGATGGGGGGTTGCCATATGCAAAGTCACTTATGAGCAATTAAACTGGGAGGAGGGTGGAGAGCATCATGAGCGTCCTTCCCATCTCGGCGTCTCTGGGAGGATCCTCGGGCGTAACAACAGGAGCCCAGCCAGCGCACCTGCCCACGTGCGTGATCAGAGGCGATGTCTCCCTCTCCACAAAGCGAGGGCTGGTCAAGCCCCCTCGCAGCTGTTTCCCGTGGAGAGGAAAGCCCCTAAGTTCCCAGGCAGTGTAAACTGCCCGTGTGTTTATACAATATGCCCCGTGGCCCGAGAACACGACAACGCCTCAGACGCAGAAACTGGCAGCTGGTGCGGTGGAGATTCAGGGTGCTTGGAAGCGGGGAGGAGGGCGTGGGAGATGGGATGCTTGAATGCCAAATCAGCGTGGCTCTCCTCTGGAGAACACCCAAATGGATCTGAAACCGAAGCTTGGAAAATAACAAACATCCAAGCCTTTTGAAACCCAGACATCTTTTAAAGCCGAGCGGCTGACCCCCAGACGGTGCGCTGAAACCAGGGGCGTGGACACTGCCCAGCACCCTGGGGCAGCTTCTGCTCCCTGCCCGAGGTCTGCAGGAGCTTCGCTCAACGCACACCTGCCTGGCTGTTGCAAGAGGGAGCAGAGAGCCCACTGGTGAGAGGGTGGGAGTCGAGCAGCGTTCTCTCTCCCTGTAGGGGGGTGTGGTGCCTTCAGATGAGCTGTTTTGTTTCACGCTGAGCTGAGCTCACCTGGGCGATGACCTTGTGACAAGAATACCCGGCCAAGTCCAGATCAGCAAAGAGAGGGCAGGAAGAGGAAGAGGAAGACAAGCGGAGGCAGCCATGCGGAGCGGTGACTGGCAGAAACCCAGTCACAGCTGCTGGTTAGCATCGTCTTCAGTCCTCCAGCCAAAGTCGATAAAACCTGGATGAGGGCAAGTCCTTTAGTTAATCTCTCAGCCTCTCAAAATGCTGGTTGAGACCCCAGGGAGCCTAAGACAGGTGCATTGGAGTCCCCAGATTCTGTCTGAAATATAAACCCACCCTAAGGCTGCCCTGGGGCCGGAGCCCCTCAAGGCACCGTGTTAGTTCAACATCCTCAAGGGCTCGTTGGGACTTGGGAAACGCTGGGGGACCGGCTGCCTCAAAAATCTATTTTAAGAGAATTCACTGGAGGCCCAGTGAGGCTACCCATCTGGGGGAAATTCATGATAATCGTACTAAAAGTAATAAGAATGATGAGTAGTTACTGAGTGTTTGATCTGCTCAGTTGCCGTGTGAGGTGTCGCAGCAGCTCATTTAGTCCTGTTGAGACCATTTGGATCCTCTTTCTACATTTGAGAAAATGAGGCTCAGAGAAGTCAAGTGACGTTCTCAAGATCACAGAGTGTGCAGAGGAGCCAGAATGCAAATCCAGGAGTCCTAACCCGAAAGTCTGTGGGTCAGTGCGACCTCTTCGTGGGCAGAGACCCTCGTTCCTTCAAAGGGTTCCAGGCTGGGAGGAGGCATGAGTGTTAAACTCGAATCAAGGTGTGCTCTGGATCTACCTGCGGGACTCCAAATCATTACACTCCACTGGCGTGATGGACAACCTCTCGAATCTGTCCTTCTGACCTGACCTCCGGAAGCCAGAGTCCCCCCCAGGTCCAGGGTATGTATGTCTGGGGACCCCGAGTGAGGAACACACCTTACCTGGGAATCAGTGTAATCATATAACCAAGAGGAGGTTAGAGAGAGAGGGCGAGTGAGTTGTTTATACCCAGAGGCCAAGAAAGGAACTGAGGAAGGTCCTATAGACTCAGAGTCTGCAATTCCACCCCCCAACCAGGCCGCCCCGTCAGCTCCTCTCCAGCTTTCCCTTCCCCACACCTTCTGAGCCCTTCTCCCGTAACAGCTAGATGTCTCAGGTTGCCTGGAATGAAAAATATCCTGGAACTCAACAGAGGGAGCTGCCAGATTCTACCATCCTTCCAACCTCTGGGCCTCTGGTTCCTCTACCGGCTGCCCCCACCCCCACCCCCTACCCCCAACCCCAACCCCCAGACATCCACTCCTTCCAGCTCTGTGACCAGCTGGACTGCCTTTCTGGAAGCCAGATTCTCTTTCTTGTCTAACGTGACTGTGTCTCGGGAGGCTACTGGGCTGCCCATCTGGGGAGGACATGCCGGGGTCCCACAGGGCAACAAGCCATAGCCCCAATGCATCCCCTCCTCTTCCTTCCAGGAAACATGTGAGAAATCCCAGTCTCTCCTTCCCCAGCCTGACCTTGGGATGTCAGGTCGGGAGGGTGAGATTCTCTTCATCAGTAAATTAAGGGGGAATCTCTAGTCCTGTTGCCCTGTATGCTCTCAAGCCTTCTCCCCTGTGCTGCCTGTTACTCTCTCTCTGATTTCTCAGGAAACAGCCTCAAGGTGACAAGTGCTACCAGCTGCTCCCCTGTATGACCAGGGGCTCTAGAGTGGAGAAGGAGAAGCCTTGGAGGAAGGAGGAATGATCACAGTGAGATTTCCCTCCCCTGGAGCTGGCGGAGCTCGCTGGGAATTAGCCAACGAGGCACGGGTTGTCCCGAGTGAGGCCCGTTCTGCTCTGTGCCCTGGGTGAGCGTCTGAAGGCACCACCTCGGCTTCCCGCTGGGTTCCAGGAGAATTGGTCCCTCTCTTAGGACACCTTGCAGCTGGCAAGGCAGCTCGGAGCCAAGGGTTTGTGTGCATCGTCATGAATTCTTTTAGCTGTCTCTCTCTCTCCTTCCCAGAGCTGTCTGCTCGCCTCATCCCAGGCCCCCCAAAGACCCCCACTGTGGGTTCCCTCCTAAGTACTCGTCTCCACCCCAGCCCTTAGAGCCAGAAAGGTGGCACCATCTCTGCAGCCCTGGGCTCCAGGCTCCCTCTGAGGCAGGAGTTGGCAGCCTATGCAAATCAGTTTTGCCTGGAGACCTTCTGAGAAGAAAGGGAAGCTCAGAGACCTTGATCTTCTTGCCCTGCGTTCTGGGAAGCTGCGTTTTTCTTTGCTGCTGCTTTTAAGCAAGCTGGATCTCATCACAGATATTGAAGTGGGGCGTGATTCTGAGGAAGCGCCTGAGAAGTGGGAACTTGGCTTGCGTGCTGCCTTTGAGGGCCGGTGGGGGGAGAACCACAAGCCCGTCCAGATCTTATCTCCTCAGGAAGGGGCAGGAAAACAACACAGCAAAACAGCTGCCGGCCGAGAACGCCGCCCGTGTCTTCACACCACACACCCACGTGTGGTGAAGTTGCCGTTTCCCATGAAGATGAAAGTGGAGGGTGAGGCCCGCTAGGGATTCCCTGAGCCCCGGATGGGAGGCTCAGCCGGGCGAGGAGGGACCATCCAGTCGGTCCCTGGGCAAGGACTCAGCACTCGGCACCCGTCACCTCCACCTGCCTGCTCTCCCTGGAGGCACCTGAGAGAGGCTGGGCTGTTTCTGCTCTCTGGGGTGAAGGGGCAGTCCATTACCCCACACTTGCTAAATACGCACGGTCTCTGCCAGGGCTCTGGGGAACCCAGTGAAATCCAAGATAGTCCTGGTCCACAGGGAACTTAGGGAAAAAACCAGTGGGGAGACCAACCGCAGAGAGAGGAAAACTTAAATAATACACAGCACACTCACATACAGAAATACCACACAGGAGCGGTTACAAGGTGGCACATGACTAATTGGCAAATTAAAGACACGTTCACTCTCGGTTTGCTCCCACACTGACATTTTGCTGAAGAACGGAACACAGGCTGCAGTTAGCTGAGCTGGGGGTGGGGAGCCCCGAGTGGGGCAGCAGGTCACGCTACATTACCTCCACAAGATCCCCAGTTACACTGTCGGAGGGAATTGTTTTCCGAAAGGGATTCAGGGCCATGTCTGCCACCTTTTCAGGCGTCAGTAACATCCGCTCGCCTCTGCCCTCACTCTTTCCACTCCTGAGACACCTTCCCTTCCTCCACTGTCCACTGCAACACACACTAACCCCTGCCAGCAGCAGCTTCTCTGGTTGTGTCTTGGCTAGGCTGCTCTTTCCTCAGACCCCAGGATGAATTTCCATCAAATTACTCATAGGAATGCAGACAGAATTTGAATTAAATTGGTTTGGTAACAAATCCCAGCTCTGCATTCATTAGGCATGTGGCTGTGACCGTGGGCCTCAATTTCCTCATCTGTAAAGCGGGTACAAAAATAATAGTTTTGGGGATTGAAAGGGGTTGTGAATGTGAAACACCTGGAGTGTGTTCCAAGCTTCTTGCTGTGTGGAAATTCACCAGGCTATGCTAAAGTGGTGCTTCTCAAAACTGCAAGTGCCTTCATTACTGGGGGATCTTGTTAAAAATGCAGATTCTGATTCAGTAGAACTCAGTGGGGCTTGAAATTCTACATTTCTAGTAAGTTTCCCACTGGTGCAGATGCTGCTGGTCCCAGGATCACATTGATTAGTAGCAAGGTACTCAAAGACTTCTGGTTAGAATCTTGCATTTCCAGGATTTCCCTGGGTGTTCACTGCGTACACTGACTCCTGACTTCTCTGTGTTTGGAACTTCCTGCCTCATCGTTCTGGGCTCTGTTTGGCCCCATTCCTGTTGCTGACTTTCTTGGCTCTTTGACCCCTTCAGTCTCCAGCTCTACACTTCTCCCTGCGGGACTTTGCCCCCTAGAATGGCATTGCTCCTGCAGATGCCCCCTTTTAATGTTTCTGGCTTCCTCTCACATCATTCTCTTGCAATTTGCCGGAAGTCACCTTTGGCTAAAACTCATCCCATTTTCCTTTTTTCCTGGGCTGCCAGGAAGCTTACAGTTGAGTTTACGGTGCATTTTATCAGTTCTCCCACCAAGTTTTATGATAAAGTTAGTTTCTTCCCACACCATGTCTTTTCTTCTTTTATGACTTGGTTCTTAAATTTCTTAGTTTTGCTGTATACATTGCCATTGGCTAGCAGAGTGGTCTTGGATAGGTCACTTAACTTCCCTGGGATTCAGTTTTATCCCCTATGAAGTGGGGATAATAATAGTACCTACCCCAAAAAATTTTGGGGACACTTAAATGAGTTAACATCTGTAGAGTTCTTAGAAGAGTGCTTGGCATACGGTAAGCACCACATGAGTGTTATTGATTGTTGTTGTTATTTTATGAAGTGCTTCAAATCCTTTGACAAGGAAGATGGGTACAATTGTCATCACCATCATCAACTATGTTGACATTAAAGTGCTATACAATAGACCATGAAATTATCTTATTATCTTGGAATACTTGAATTATGGTACAACTTGTAAACTAGAAAGAAAAGAATTTAGAGCCAATTAAATTTTTATAGTACTTATTTCTTATCTAAAAACAGGTAGTTCCAATGGAGAAACAGACAGAGAAAACAGACTTATGGACATGGGGAGAGGGGAGGAGAGGGTGAGATATATGGAAAGAGTAACGTGGAAACTTACATTACTATATGTAAAAGAGATAGCCAACGGGAATTTGCTGTATGGCTCAGGAAACTCAAACAGGGGCTCTGTCTCAACCTAGAGGGGTGGGATGGGGAGGGGGATGGGAGGGAGATTCAAAAAGGAGGGGATATATGTATCAGTTCAGTTCAGTCACTCAGTTGTGTCCGACTCTTTGCAACCCCATGAACTGCAGCACGCCTTGAACTCAGCATCAGTCCTTCCAATGAATATTCAGGACTGATTTCCTTTAGGATGGACTAGTTGGGTCTCCTTGCCATCCATGGGACTCTCAAGAGTTTTCTCCAACACCACAGTTCAAAAGCATCAATTCTTTGGTGCTCAGCTTTCTTTATAGTCCAACTCTCACATCCAAAGGTCCATCTAGTCAAGGCTATGGTTTTTCCAATGGTCATGTATGGTCAACTGATGTTGAAGCTGAAACTCCAATACTTTGGCCACATGATGTGAAGAGCTGACTCATTGAAAAAGACCCTGATGCTGGGAAAGATTGAAGGCAGGAGGAGAAGGGGATGACAGAGGATAAGATGGTTGGATGGCATCACCAACTCCATGGACATGGGTTTGGGTGGATTCTGGGAGTTGGTGATGGACAGGGAGGCCTGATGTGCTGCGGTTCATGGGTTCACAAAGAGTTGGACATGACTGAATGACTGAACTGAACTAAACTCACATCCATACATGACCACTGGAAAAACCATAGCTTTGACTAGACGGACCTTTGTTGGCAAAGTAATGTCTCTGCTTTTTAATATGCTGTTTAGGTTGGTCATAACTTTTCTTCCAAGGAGCAAGTGTCTTTTAATTTCATACCTATGGCTGATTCATGTGGAGGTTTGACAGAAAACAACAAAATTTTGTAAAGCAATTTTCCTTCAATAAAAAATTAAAGAAAAAACCAGGTATTTCCAACATGAGTGAAACGGAATAGAATTTGCCCTTCCAAACTGTGTGTCTTTAAACCAGCACAGTCCGTGGAGGTACTGTATAGCCTCCACCCTCCAGAGTGGGCTTTGAGCACTGCAGTCGTGCCTGAAGCAGTTTTCTTGAACTTGTTCGCTTCTCTTTTGCCTGTGCTCTGGCATTATAGTCCATTTCAGCTTCTGGCTCTTGGGCTTCACCTCTTAAAGCTGGCCCAACTCATTCTGTAAACCTAACGACTGGATCAGCTGAGCTGATATGATTTTGTTGCCTTCTCGGGCTCATGGTCTTTTTGTCTGCTTCTGGAACTCAACCGGTTGGCTTCCACTGGAACTCCTAGGACTTTATTAGGTGGCTTTCTGGGGTTTTCTCCATGCCTGCTTCATACCCTCATGCTTCCTTCATTCATTCCCTCCGTGAAATTTATTTTGTGTCTTCTCTGTGCCAGTCACTGATACAAGTCAGTAGGGAATGTAGAAGTAAAAGAAGTTCTGGCTCTCACAGAGCTTTAGTTGGGGGAGAGAGAAAATAAATTAATACATACTGTGTACTCTATCTCCTTGCTACTCAAAATATAGTCTGTGGGCCATGTTAGGTTGGAAATGGTGTCTAGAAAATCAAGTAGACACACTGAGGAAGCTGCTGCTTTCATGAGTTCAGATTTAAGCAAGATGTTTACTTGCATCTCTACCAACCACATCATTTCATAGTTGAACAAGATGAGTTTGTGTGACATGAGCAGGCCTTTAACCAAGGGCACGCAGTTAGTTGGTTGTAGAGCTTATTTTTGGTCTTTTCTGCTCGTGACACCCCATCTTTTCCTACATGACATCTAGGTCAATGAATTACTGAGGCAAATTGGTTTATTTAGGGGGATTCCCAAACCTGATGGGGCTGTGGAAATTTAGGAAAGCCCATTTCTGATATTTTCTGTTCAAACTTCATTTCTAAGTCAGAGGGCTCATGAGTTGGCTCCCACTAGGCAAATCCTGAATCTCTAATCATATGTGTCCTAAACAAGGAGCGCGTAGGTGTGAGCCACAGTGATGGTGCAAGTTCTTTTCTGAAACTCTGAAAGAGGGCTCTAGGCAAACAGATTAAGAAAGGGTTTCAGAGAGACTCATAGATTCATATGCAAATATGGAAATCGAGGCTTAGAGAAGTCAAGTGACTAATTCAAGGTCCCACTGCAGGTTAGCAGCTGGCCAGAGCCCAGAGCTAAGTCTCCTCAATCATATCAGAATTTAAGATCTGGAGTTGGAAGATCTAAGTTTGCTCCCCCTCATTTCCATTAGCCGAGTCCCTTACCTTCTCCCATAGACCTCAGCTTCATCATTTGTAAATAAGGGTTCATCAGATGAAGTGGTTTACATAAGGTAGTTTTGCGAAATTGCCTTTTTTCCACCCATAACATATGGCATTTCTTATGCCAAAACTTCTAACAGAGAGGAAATAATCATTTTCCAGATTGCTTCTGCATTACGATGAGGACACTGACTCGGGAGAAATGTGTGAACCTCACACATGTATCCATCTGGCCAACTCCTTTTTCAGTTCTCTTCATCTCCGGTGTCTGTGTGCTCAGTCACTCACTTGTGTCCAGTTCTCTGCGACCGCATGGACCGTAGCCTGCAAGGCTCCTCTGCCCAAGAGATTTTCCAGACAAGACTACTGGAGTGGGTTGCTGTTTCCTCCTCCAGGGGATCTTCCCGATTTAGGGATCGAACCCACATCTCTTGTGTCTCCTTCACTGGCAGGTGGATTCTTTAACACTGTGCCGCCTGGGATCTAGTCAACTGCCTTTTCGTCTCCCTTCAGCTCTTAAAGTGGTGATTTTTAAAACTTTCTCCCTTCCATCACCTCTTCCATTGCTCTCAGAGAAAATATTGGCTGGTGAATCAGAGTTTAATCTCCTATAACTAGAGCGGACAAACATCTGTATAAACTTTCATCTTCACCTTCTCCTGTTTCTGAACTGGCATTATCATACCCTTTCTTTCCATGGTTAACTCCAATTTCCACGTAGACTTCACAATGCAACTCAGAGGTCACGGCACCTATCCTTATCCACCTTCTCTTCTCGGTCATATCCTGATCCACCTTCCCTTGACTGATTGACACCCCCTTCTGTTCTCCCAGAGCACCCAGTGCCTCCTTTACAGGCATGAATCCCATTGTCTTATGTATTTGTTTACTTGGAAACCTCACTCACTAGAACACAGGGATTCTATTTACTTCTGTATCCACATGGTGTCTGGTACATATATGTTCTCACTAAATGTTTTATGGATGAATGAATGTATGTGTGATGCTTACTTGGGTCACTGATAAAGATGACTTCATCAGTTTCTGTTTTGTCATCCCTCGTGGGTTTGAATATCTTGGTGAGAGAAATGTCTCCAAGTTGCCTGGGCCCTCTGCACCTTCCAGCCTCAGGTGGAAATGAATGGAAACCAAGGTGCTCTCCTTGGTTCTGCCCCACTGTGCACCCGTGCCTTGTGTCTGAAATCTTCTTATGGA